CCCCCCCCTCCTCTTCCTTGCACCCGCAAGATAACATAAACTTGAAGGTTGAAAGGTGTTAATCCCCCTCGTGTTAAGGTGTTAATCATAGACAAGTGCGTGGCAGCTGGATTAACGAGCCTCTGGCCATTGTTTTATCAGAGTCTGTGCTGTCCAGAGTACAATTTCCAGGGCATCCTTAGCGCTCTCGTCTGTTTTTCGGGTCCGGGCGGTGTGTTTTTCTGCCCTTGGCGCACACCAATGGCCGCCCAGGACAGGAGATGCCTGTAATGTGTGTACAAGGTGCTGGTCAAGGTTGCTTAAACAATGTGCACATGTACACACAGACGCGTACACATGTCCGCCGGCGCTTGGGCCTGCAGCATACTCACTGAAGCATTGCGTATGCCGCTGTTATATAACTAATCCCTTTTACACCTTGGAGGACAGGAGTCGAAGTCGAAGATGCAGTGTTGGAGACTGGGGCTCTTGAAGGCCCTCACTGTCTCCGCCTATATGACATTGGTGTGAAAGCTAAGGGCCAGACTGTTTTATGATGAGATAAACAGCAGTGCCAGGTCATGTACGGAAATTGAGGAGTCAAGCTGGAATTCTCACAGAAAAGGATAACGAGGTATATAAGGAACTTGGCACAAGATATCAAGTCTCTACAATAGAACAAGCGTCAAAACCAGGTTGCAAGATGAAAGGCCAGAAGAAACAATGGATGACAGTGTGGTCACTGTACAAGAGGTAAAAGGAACAAAAAACACACTTAAAGGAACCAGATATGACAAAATCAATCGGGCCAGACCTAATCTCGTCACTGGCAGCTGAAGAAAGTTGCACAAATATTTTGTCACCATTATCTAAACTTTTTAATAAAACGCTTCAGACAAGAAATCTCCCAGAAGGAAAATCCAAACCTAGTCCAAATGTTAAAAAACAAATAAGATGGAAAGGAGCAGTAAATTACAGACGGGTGTCACTGAAAAGCATTGTGTGCAAGATGCTGGAGAAAGTAATCTGCTTGAGAATGATGAAGCATCTTGAGAACATCAACTGTGAGACAAAAGGTGAACGTGGACTCACAAAGGAAAAGTTGTGCCTGACAAACTTGTTTGACTTTTATGACAGGAATAAATCAATAAAACGAAGGCTCTACAGATTGTATTTTCCTGTATAATCAAAATACATTCGACACTTCCCCGTGAAAGACTGGTGTAGCAGATGGAAAAGCAAGCTGCGATAACTGGCAAAACACTGACCTGGGTAACGGAGTACCTAAAGGACAGAAAACAATGAGTCATAGAGAGAGAGGAGGTTTCAAACTGGAGAAATGTAACAAGTGGGGTCCCACGAGGCTTGGTCCTGGGACCACTGCTGTTTGTAATTTATGTAAACGACCTCCTTAAGGGAGTGAGCTCATACATGTCAATATTTGTAGATGATGCAAAGCTGATGAGGAATGTGAAAACAGAGGATGACTGCAGTAAGTTTCAGAAGTACCTTGACAAGCTCAAGGAATGGTCAGACGAATTCTGCTGGAATTCAGTCCCAACAAGTGTAAGGTAATGAAGATGGGAAAGGGAGAGAGAGAGGAGAGAGAGAGAGAGAGAGAGAGAGAGAGAGAGAGAGAGAGAGAGAGAGAGAGAGGGAGGGGAGAGAGAGAGAGAGAGAGAGAGAGAGAGAGAGAGAGAGGGGACCAGGAGGCATCAACACCATAAGGAAAAGACAAACTACAGAAATCACGAAGAAAGAAAACGATTTAGGAAGGGAAGGGAACAGTCAGGAGAAAGCGCAAAGCCATTATGACTATATAGCACTGTGAAGGGATCAGGATTAGGATTTGGGCTGTGACGGGGAAATGATTTGGGGAGTGGATATAATTCCCACAATCACACCGGTGGCACACGTAAACAGGATAGCACTAGCAGCATATGTAACGCTGAGAAATATAAGAACATCGTTTAGAAACGTGAATCAGGACTCCTTCAAGACAATCTATACAACATTTGTTAGATCAATATTGCAAACACTCTTCTATTACTTAATAAACATTTAAATAAATGCTTATCATCGTCCAAATTAATATTACAGGAAATCATATGTTTCGTTGCAAAAGAAACTATGACATATAGTGTTGATATTAAAAGTACAAAATACAGTTGCAATTGTAGACGAGGAGTCACAATAACGGGGCTGAAATATGTTGACCAATCCACACACACTAGAAAGTGAAGGGACGAAGACATTTCGGTCCGTCCTGGACCATTCTCAAGTCGATTGTGAGAATGGTCCAGGACGGACCGAAACGTCGTCGTCCCTTCACTTTCTAGTGTGTGGTTTGGTCAACAGTTGCAATTCCTGAAAATACAAAAATATACAACAAATAAATCCACGAATCTATTGTTTCACAAGTTCCGTACCGTTGTAATAAATCCACTGTCTACCTAATCCTTAAAACGTCAGGATAAATTTGGCGGGAGACGCGTAATTACCCGCCAAAACATCATAAAAAGGCGGGAACCCAGCGGGTGAAAACAATGTCCGCCTATTTTGCCAGTAGGCTCTCAGCCTAGCTTTTTTTTAGTAGGCTTTTTTGTTTTGTTTTTTTGGTTTCTTTTACATTTTTATTCTTATTTTTTTTTTTTTTAGTGATTTACGAAAATTCTGATTCGTATTGATTCTCTCGTGAGGTAGAATTTAATTATTTTTTAGTGTTATTGTGATCTAGGAGGGAAAAGTGCGCAAACTTTATGATCTGGGAATGTGTCTTTTGTAAGAATTTAAGCGAGTGGATCCGTTTGTTTGGTCGTGGGGTGCCCTAGGGGGAGAAGGGGTGCCACTCCTGATGGGTCTACCAGGCCAGACCAGCCTCATAATCTACCAGGCCAGACCAACCTCATAATCTACCAGGCCAGACCAACGTCATAATCTACCAGGACAGACCCACCTTACAATCTACCAAACTAGACCCAACTCACAATTTACCAGACCAGACCTCCCCATCACAGCCTATCAAATTTAGGCTCTAAATTTGATAGGCTGGGAATGTCTATTCCCATAGATAGGCTACCAGCCTTTAGATAGGCTGGTAGCCTATCTAAAGCCTGGTAGGCTGAGAGAGGCCCAACCTCCCTCAGCCTACCAGGTTAGACAAACTTCTTTCTTTGTTCCCTTCTTCTTTCCTTCTTTCTTGTTCTTTCCTTTCTTGAGCCTTCTTTTTCTTTCTGTATTTTCGTCTTGTCCCTAAATCCATCCTTTGCTCTCTATCCCTTCTTGTTCCTTCCTGATTTCTTTCTCATTTGTCTTCTTATATTCATTCGCTCACTTTTAATTTGTCAGTTTTGCTCATTATATCCTTTATTCCCCTTTTTACTACCTCCTTATACTGCTTTCTCCTCTTCCCACTTTTCTCTTCTTCGCTACACGGCCACTGAACCCGTCTCCTCTTTTCCTTTCTCTTCTTCCTTCAAATCTCCTTAATATTCTTATATTTGGACAGGTTTTATTGGTGAAATTCTCTCTGTATGAACGGAAATGTATTATTTTGAAGCTTGAGTATACAAAGGTTCGGACTGTTGTAAGCCTTAATTATGTATGAGGCTAAGTATTTTATTGTGTATATCATCGTTGTATAGTGTGGTGTATAAGTGTTATTATATATATATATATATTTAGAGTTTTCCGACTATTTATTTCCGACTTTTCCAACTTTTATGTCGACGTTGATCTAAATATTTCTCATTCTAAATAGTTATCATTTCTATTTCTTCGTATTCCAGTGGTCTGAGACCAGTGGTCTCAGACCAGTGATCTCAGACCAGTGATCTCAGACCTCCTCCTTCCTGGTCTTAACCACAAAAGTTCCTGTCAAGGGCCGCTTCATATTTGTAAACTCATTAAAATTGACAATAACGATGGGAAAACTCATTATATGGGGCTCCCCCAGGATGAGGGTGGGGGGGGGGGTCTTTTGGTGGGAAAGGGGTGGAAGGGGGTGGAAGGGGTGGGTGTGGTTGGCTTAGGTCACGGGCCTTGCAGTGTTGTCAACCACCCCAGAATTTCATGTGAAAATCTACGGTGATATATCACTTCATGCAGGTCAGCGTTCAATCCCCAACCGTCCATCAAGTGGTTGGGCACCATTCCTTCCCCCTGCTCGTCCCACCCCAAATCCTTATCCTGACCCCATCCCAGTGCTATATAGTCGTAATGGTTTGGCACTTTCCCCCCTCATAACCCCCCCCCCCTCCTTGTACAAATATCTATTTCTTGAATGCAAATTTAACAAGTTTTTTCTCGATTTCGAAATTTGATCCACGAATGTTGTGGTCATTGTGTTGCAGGCTAATGAGGCCATCTTGCCACTGTTGAACAGCCTGGGCCATCACTCTAATGTATCCCCATTTTGTTTTGCAAACAGGGCCAGAATATTGAAGATATATTGGGGGAATTTCAGTATGCCACGCTTCTGCTCGCACCGTTGGCACCTCTGGTGGTTATGGTTTCCGTCGTGCGTGACTGGAAGATGGGGGGAAGAGAGAGAGATAGAGAGAGAGAGAGAGAGATAGAGAGAGAGAGAGAGAGAGAGAGAGAGAGAGAGAGAGAGAGAGAGAGAGAGAGAGAGAGAGAGAGAGAGAGAGAGAGAGAGAGACAGAGACAGAGACAGAGAGTATGAGAGACGGAAAAGATGATGATGTAGGTGCTTAAAGCACTGATATATCTACATTTCTCATGGCTGCACTCTTTTAAACATTTACATGCACAATAGAGAAGAAATGCCGACTGCTATAAGGTACATTAACCTTCTTCTGAGAGTTGCCTTTATTTATTCTGTTTATACCAAACTTTTTTTTAAGGGGGGTCTTTCACATGCAGGACTTCAGAGTATAACGCTGTAATGGGTTCTGCTTTGCTATTGTGGTCACCCATCCAGTTGCTGGCCGGACCCAACGGTCCAGTGTCTGAGGCTATGCAAAATATATTTTATTTTCCTGTGATAATTATTCTCTGATTTAATCGTTTAGTTTGTTAATTTTAAGCTGACAAGAAGAAAATATCTGGGCTGAGGGAACAATTTTAACTGACAGGAAGATCTGAGATGAAGGAACGATAAAAGCTGAGGTAACGATGTGAGCTGAGGTAACGATGTGAGCTGAGGTATTGATCTGAGCTGAGGTAATGATGTGAGCTGAGGTAATGATCTGAGCTGAGGTAACGACGTGAGCTGAGGTAATGATCTGAGCTGAGGTAATGATGTGAGCTGAGGTAATGATCTGAGCTGAGGTAACGATGTGAGCTGAGGTAATGATCTGAGCTGAGGTAATGATGTGAGCTGAGGTAATGATCTGAGCTGAGGTAATGATGTGAGCTGAGGTAATGATCTGAGCTAAGGTAACGATGTGAGCTGAGGTAATGATCTGAGCTGAGGTAATGATGTGAGCTGAGGTAATGATCTGAGCTGAGGTAACGACGTGAGCTGAGGTAATGATCTGAGCTGAGGTAACGATGTGAGCTGAGATGAAAATCTGAGTATAGAAAGATCTGAAATCAGAGGAACGTCAGAGCTGAGAGGAAGGTATGAGCTAAGAGGAATATCTGAGATATAAGAATGATCTGGGCTGAGGGGTAAGATCTAAGCTGAGAGAAACATATAACCTGAGAGAAAGATTTGAACTGAGAGAATGTTCTAGGCTGAGGGTAATTTGATATCGATTTTTATCTCAGTATCTTTTAACTATCATCTAATAATTCCTGTTCATCTCCCTCAGCCTTTGGGGTGGACGGTAGAGCGACGGTCTCGCTTCATGCAGGTCGGAGTTCAATCCCCGACCGTCTATTTGGTCGCGCACCATTCCTGTGGTGCCCATTCCATAATGTTTCTGTTGTCAACTCGTGGAATTCGAATGTATTGTGGAGAGTGATAAAGTTGGACTGAATTATCAGGAGAAAAAGGAATGGTGCCCAACCGCTTAGTGGACAGTCGGGGATTGAACGCCGACCTGCATGAAGCGAGATCGTGGTCTCCCGACCTTGCATAATACTTACTCTATAATAATTAGTCAGTAATCATTACTCAATAATAAGCCTACATAAGACTCGATACTATTTGTTCGTAGCATTTTTAATAGGTTTAGTTATGGGGAGATTGTATTCATTAACATTATCATTATTACGTAATATATTATTAGTTTATTATTTATTTTTATTATTGTTGTCTTGGTCTCAAGTTATCTTACGCTCGTGTTGTCTAATTTATTATTTTTATCGCAGTTATTATCATTCTCTTTCACCTTCTAGTTATTTACTCCAGAATTCTTCGTCCTGTTGACGTAACTTTAATATAATAATACAAATGTAATATTTTTTATATATAATTTTGTTTATATAAACTGTTAGGTAACGGCCGGTGAAGCATTAATTAAGGAGCTGATCTCTTGCCTCTAAGTCATTCCCTTTATAAAATATCAATTTTGTTGTGTCTGGTTAACCTGTATGTTTGTTAATTCCTTTAAAACACCGAGCGAGCACTTTCCTCGCTAACTTTAGCGACCACAGTTCTCGCTAACCTTAGCGACCGCATTTCTTCCCAACCTTAGCGAACATTCGGTTGTATTAATATCGCTGTTGACGAGAGAAAAAAATCGATCCTGAACCCTTTGGCGAAATCGCCGCCGACGTCTGAAATCGTCAGACTTGGTTCCTTGGAGTGTGGAGGCGACAGAGACATTCCAGGAGGATTCCTGGACAGCCATTCCCGCTGTCAGTAGCACATTCTTGGATCATGTCGGCGCGTAATATGTGGGCCGTCCTGATCCTCTGACAACACTGCGGTTCCCGTTTTCTGTACGACTAAAGGGGGGATGTTGTTATTCTTATAAGATTTATAAGTTTGTCGCAGCTGTGAGACGGGGCGGGGTGGCGTTCGTTGGGGCTTCCGGCCGGAGGAGGTAGAGAGAGAGAGCCTTTGTGGGGGGATTTACGTGGATTACTTTCATTTCTTGGACTTTTCAGCGGCGTGTTAATCCCAATCTCAACCTTCGGTCTGCACCATCTGTGTAAATACTGTCGGACCTGTTGGGGATCTTTGAGCAACAGAAAAGGAAAGTATTCAGCGTGATATTATGTTGTTTTCCCAAAAATCTCTTAACAAACGTTACTCTTGTTTCCCACGACTATACCATATCCTGGAGACCAGTTAGAGCTATATTAGGGGAGCTTAATTAGCCAGTAAATAGGGGTTATATATATGTGCCTAAGCCACCCAAATAATGGGCTCAGGGGAGACACAGTCATTGTCATATGTGTTGCTTCTCACACCTCGTCCTCTCTCGTCTCGTGCTCCTTGAGAGACGACGGCTCTCTTCACTCTCTCATTTGTCCTTGGTACTTTGTGTTGAGCCTTTCCTGTCTTGTTCCAGTCTTGTTTCCCAGTGGTTTTGGAGGGGTCTTGATTGTTTCTTGGTGGTTCTGAATGCTCTTGAGTGTCTCCCGGTGGTTCTGAATGCTCTTGATTGTCTCCCGGTGGTTCTGAATGCTCTTGATTGTCTCCCGGTGGCTCTGAATGCTCTTGATTATCTCCCGGTGGCTCTGAATGCTCTTGAGTGTCTCCCGGTGGCTCTGAATGCTCTTGATTGTCTCCCGGTGGTTCTGAATGCTCTTGATTGTCTCCCGGTGGCTCTGAATGCTCTTGATTGTCTCCCGGTGGCTCTGAATGCTCTTGATTATCTCCCGGTGGCTCTGAATGCTCTTGAGTGTCTCCCGGTGGCTCTGAATGCTCTTGATTGTCTCCCGGTGGTTCTGAATGCTCTTGAGTGTCTCCCGGTGGCTCTGAATGCTCTTGAGTGTCTCCCGGTGGTTCTGAATGCTCTTGATTGTCTCCCGGTGGTTCTGAATGCTCTTGAGTGTCTCCCGGTGGTTCTGAATGCTCTTGAGTGTCTCCCGGTGGTTCTGAATGCTCTTGAGTGTCTCCCGGTGGCTCTGAATGCTCTTGATTGTCTCCCGGTGGCTCTGAATGCTCTTGATTGTCTCCCGGTGGCTCTGAATGCTCTGAGCCCCATCGTTGAGCCTCTATCTAAAAGAAAAATATATAAGAAAAATATAAGAGGTTCAGATATTTGCCATAAGCCTCATGCCTGGATGTAATGTGAAGAAAGACTGAAAGAACTAGACCTGACATTACTAGAGGAAACGACAGAGAGAGAGAGAGAGGAGACGTGACAGAGACATAAACATTATAAATAGACAGGGACATAGAGTAAGTTTTTTTTAGCGTAAGAGTAGTGGGAAATGAACTAAATGAACAATTGAGTGAAGTTCAATGATTATTTCATCGGTTGGTGTTGTTAGGCAACCAGTGATTAGAAAGGCAGAGGTCCAGGAGCTGAAGCTCGATTCTGCAGGCACAATTAGGTGAGTACAAGCACACACACACACACACACACACACACACACACACACACACACACACACACACACTCACACACACCACACACACACACACACACACACACACACACACACACACACTCACTCACTCACACACACACACACACACACACACACACACACACACACACTCACTCACTCACTCACTCACTCACACACACACACACACTCACACACTCACACACACACACACACACACACACACACACACACACACACACACACACACACACACACACACACACACACAGACAAACACACACACACACACACACAGAACTTTTTTAGTGTCAGAGTGGTTGACAAATGGAATGCATTAGGGGGTGATGTGGTGGAGGCTGACTCCATACACAGTTTCAAGTGTAGATATGACAGAGCCCAGTAGGCTCAGGAATCTGTACACCTGTTGATTGACGGTTGAGAGGCGGGACCAAAGAGCCAGAGCTCAACCCCCGCAAACACAACTAGGTGAGTACAACTAGGTGAGTACACACACACACACACACACACACACACACACACACACACACACACACACACACACACACACACACACACACTCACACACAAACACACACACACACAAACACACATATGGGGCCTCGTAGCCTGGTGGATAGCGCGCAGGACTCGTAATTCTGTGGCGCGGGTTCGATTCCCGCACGAGGCAGAAACAAATGGGCAAAGTTTCTTTCACCCTGAATGCCCCTGTTACCTAGCAGTAAATAGGTACCTGGGAGTTAGTCAGCTGTCACGGGCTGCTTCCTGGGGTGTGTGTGTGTGGTGTGGTGTGAAAAAAAAAGTAGTAGTGTAGTTAGTAAACAGGTCAACAGTAAACAGTAAGTCACAAGTCAACAGTAAACAGTTGATTGACAGTTGAGAGGCTGGCCGAAAGAGCAAAGCTCAACCCCCGCAAACACAACTAGGTGAATACACACACACACACACACACACACACACACACACACACACACACACACACACACACACACACACACACACACACACACACACACACCTCTAAAAGCAACAACCTATCATCTGTCATTTGACTTGTGCGCGTGCGCGGGCGCACACCAGCCTCACACCCTTGTCATCACCCACAGAAAGAGTGAGAGTCATAGAGAGTCATCATTAGGGTACAAGACTTGGCAGAGAGGCATGTCTCTCTCTCTCTCTCTCCCTCTCTGTTTCTCTGTCTCTCTCTCTCTCTCTCTCTCTCTCTCTCTCTCTCTCTCTCTCTCTCTCTCTCTCTCTCTCTCTCTCTCTCTCTCTCTCTCTCTCTCTCCCTCTCTCTCTCTCTCTCTCTCTCCCTCGGTGGGTGTTTCTGACCATCGGGGTCGGAGACTGACGGGTCGGGGTTCGCATCGCCCTGGCCGAGGCTTGTCTCTACAAATCTGCAAATATTGTCTCTCAAAATCTTGCTCGGGGAAAAACAAAGAGTCTTCTTTCAGCTCTTGTAAACCTAAGAGTCAACTCTTAGACGCTACAGGTGAGGTGTAAACTATATCTTCATTGTACTGCTGGGGTATACCTCTGTGTAGACCCGTGGGGCTACTCTGGGTGATGCTGGGCTCGGTGTAGACCCGTGGGGCTACTCTGGGTGGTGCTGGGCTCGGTGTAGACCCGTGGGGCTACTCTGGGTGGTGCTGGGCTCGGTGTAGACCCGTGGGGCTACTCTGGGTGATGCTGGTGGGGAGTATTACTAGCGGGGAAGTGCCTAACAAGGTCGTCAGCCCTAACAAGATTAACTGGCGTTCTTATCATCAATACCACGACTTCCGACAGGAGACCGGTGGTCCTCAACCTTCGCTATACAAGAGGCGGACATTTTTATCGATAGCTATACTGTTTTGTGTGTAAATATCGACCATGTCTGTCGCTTATTTTCCAAACATCTTGGGTTGCAAGGCAAACATCCCAGCGGCCATTTAAACCACCCCACCACGAGGGGGTGGAGGGGTTGGGGGCCCCACAAGTCATCAGGGGGGGAGGATAGGGCCCCACAAGTCATTCAGGGGGGGAGGACAGGGCCCCACAAGTCATCAGGGGGGGGAGGACAGGGCCCCACAAGTCATTAGGGGGGGGAGGACAGGGCCCCCCAAGTCATCAGGGGGGGAGGACAGGGCCCCACAAGTCATCAGGGGGGGAGGACAGGGCCCCACAAGTCATCAGGGGGAGGACAGGGCCCCACAAGTCATCAGGGGGAGGACAGGGCCCCACAAGTCATCAGGGGGGGAGGACAGGGCCCCACAAGTCATCAGGGGGGGGAGGACAGGGCCCCACAAGTCATCAGGGGGAGGACAGGGCCCCACAAGTCATCAGGGGGAGGACAGGGGCCCACAAGTCATCAGGGGGAGAACAGGGGCCCACAAGTCATCAGGGGGAGGACAGGGGCCCACAAGTCATCAGGGGGGGACAGGGCCCACAAGTCATCAGGGGAAGGACAGGGGCCCACAAGTCATCAGGGGGAGAACAGGGGCCCACAAGTCATCAGGGGGAGGACAGGGGCCCACAAGTCATCAGGGGGAGGACAGGGGCCCACAAGTCATCAGGGGGAGGACAGGGCCCCACAAGTCATCAGGGGGAGAACAGGGGCCCACAAGTCATCAGGGGGAGGACAGGGCCCCACAAGTCATCAGGGGGAGGACAGGGCCCCACAAGTCATCAGGGGGGGGACAGGGCCCACAAGTCATCAGGGGGAGAACAGGGGCCCACAAGTCATCAGGGGGAGGACAGGGGCCCACAAGTCATCAGGGGGGAGAACAGGGGCCCACAAGTCATCATTAGGTGGGGGACAGGGCCCCACAAGTCATCAGGGGGAGGACAGGGGCCCACAAGTCATCAGGGGGAGAACAGGGGCCCACAAGTCATCAGGGGGAGAACAGGGGCCCACAAGTCATCAGGGGGAGGACAGGGGCCCACAAGTCATCAGGGGGAGGACAGGGGCCCACAAGTCATCAGGGGGAGAACAGGGGCCCACAAGTCATTAGGGGGAGGACAGGGGCCCACAAGTCATCAGGGGGGGGACAGGGCCCCACAAGTCATCAGGGGGAGAACAGGGGCCCACAAGTCATCAGGGGGAGGACAGGGGCCCACAAGTCATCAGGGGGAGAACAGGGGCCCACAAGTCATCAGGTGGGGGACAGGGCCCCACAAGTCATCAAGGGGAGGACAGGGGCCCACAAGTCATCAGGGGGAGAACAGGGGCCCACAAGTCATTAGGGGGAGGACAGGGGCCCACAAGTCATCAGGAGGAGGACAGGGGCCCACAAGTCATCAGGGGGGGACAGGGCCCCACAAGTCATCAGGGGGGGACAGGGCCCCACAAGTCATCAGGGGGAGAACAGGGGCCCACAAGTCATCAGGGGGAGAACAGGGGCCCACAAGTCATCAGGGGAGGACAGGGGCCCACAAGTCATCAGGGGGAGGGGACAGGAAGGTTCCAAGGAAATTTGAATTTGAAATTTGAATTTTGAATTTGAATTTTGAATTTGAAAGTTCTAAACCTACTGCCAGGAATTAGATGTTATGGATATCTTTGATTTGGTGTTGAGCCTATAAGGCCTATTAACAGCTGAAGGGTTATTAAGGCCATCTCAGTAGCTGATTGGCCAAATCAGCTAGTTTACCTTAGTCCTGAACATATTTCTACAGTAAACTCATATTTCTGGGTATGCTTTGGGTATACTGGGTATTTCTTTCCTTAGGCGGGAACAAATGGGCAGACTTTCTTTCACTCTGATGCATCTGTTTACCTAGCAGTAAATAGGTACCTGGGAGTTAGACAGCTGCTACGGGCTGCTTCCTGGGGGTGTGTAACAAGGAGGAGGCCTGGTCGAGGACCTGGCCGCCTTTTCTTACTCTTTCTAGAGTCAAATGGTCGTTAATTACACCAGTCAGTGGTTGGGGCGAAAACCGAAACGACAGTGACGAGGATTCGAACCTACGTCCGAGAGAATCCCAGACGCTGCCTTAATCGACTGAGCTACGACATGGTCAAAAGAATTGCAACCAGAAATTCTACTGAATTTGGATCCTGCAGCCTCTCCGAGACACAAACCAGGATTTTACACAACTCCCCCCATGCACTCGAGCTATGTCAATAGGCCGTTCTACCTCTTCGCCCTTACTTCATTACACACAGAAATCACAATAGCCTGATGCATCAAATGAACAAATCCCACAAGGGCCGTGACGAGGATTCGAACTTACGTCCGAGAGGTGAAGAGGGGTGTGTCTTTGGCTATGCATCTTGTCTATGCCTTGAGAGGAGTTGAGACAGGTTGTCAGGCGGGGAAGATCCAATCTTCTGGGGACTATGATTAGAGATTGGGAGACTCGATCTTATGGAGGGGGGGGATTAGGCAGTGAAAGATTCAGTCTTCTTTGTATAGGGATGTGCAATCCTTTGGGGGATATGGATTAGGGAGTGGGAGATTTAATCCTCTGTTAGAGCAAGTGGGAGATTCCGTTTTATCGGATTGGGATTAGCCTGTGGGAGATCTAATGTTATTGAGATAAAGATTAGGGAGTTGGAGATTCAATCCTCATGATATAGTGTGAAATCCAATCTTATGGGGAAAGGGATTAGGGAATGGGTGATATAATCTTATGAGGACTGGGATTAGGGAGTTGGATATCCAATCCTCAGGGTATTTGGAGGAAAGGGAAGGAGTTATGAGGAGAAAGCGTCAAGTCACTACGACTATATATCACTGGGAAGGAATGGAGCAACTTGGTGGCCGGTCGGGGGATTGAACGCCGACCTGCACGACGCTCTACCATCGCTCTACCGTCCACCCCAAGTGGTTGGACGGCTGGTGCATGGAGGAAGGAAGAATTTCCATACAGCAAATTGAAATTGAAATAAGTTTATTGAGGTGTAAAGAGAAACAAGAGAGATGAGGTTGCCCAAGCTGTTCTCACCCCATTACCATGCAGGTGAGACTCTGGTGAGGTGGTGGTGGTAGTGGTGGTGCAAATTGTGGTGGTTGTGGTAACTGTGAATTTTTTTGTCCTATGAGTACTTGCCTATTAATAACTATATTGAATTGATGTCTATATACCTCTTTATTCCCCCCCCCCCAAGCCTTCTGGTCTTGTTGTGCCCTTTCCACCTTATCTATTCCCCCTCGGTATCTTGTATTGCGTGATCATGTCCACTCTGTGTTTATTTTCTTTCCTCCTGGGTTGGGAGGTCCAGCTCCCTTAAACCTGGTCATCAGAACGGCTTTCAGAAACCTCTGTAATTAATCCTTCAGAACCTTGTATACCACATATGTAAGACCAATCCTGGAGTATGCGGCCCCAACATGGAGCCCGTACATTGTCAAGCACAAGAAGCTGGAAAAGTTCAGAGGTATGCCACTAGGTTAGTCCCAGAACCAAGAGGCATGAATTACGAGGAAAGGCTGCGTGAAATACACCTCACGTCGCTGGAAGACAGGAAAACTCGAGGAGACATAGCCACTACCTACAATATTCTCAGGAATTGACAGGGTTGATAAACTTTAACAATGGTGGAAACCGAATACCCAAATGAGCCACAACGACGTTAGAAAGACTTTTTCAATGTCATAGCACTTGACAGGTGGAATGCATTAGACAGTGATGTGGTGGAGGCTGACTATACATAGTTTCAAATGTAGATATGATAGAGCCCAGTAGGCTCAGGAACCTGTACAACAGTTGATTGACAGTTGAGAGGCGGGCCGAAAGAGCAGAACTCAACCCCCGCAAGCCCAACTAGGTGAACACACAGGGAGAGGGGGGGGGAGGGAGGGAGAGGCGGGGAGGGAGGGAGAGGGGGGGGAGGGAGGGAGAGGCGGGGAGGGAGGGAGAGGGGGGGGAGGGAGGGAGAGGCGGGGAGGGAGGGAGAGGGGGGGGGAGGGAGGGAGAGGGGGGGGGGGGGAGGGAGGGAGAGGCGGGGAGGGAGGGAGATATAGGAAGAGAGATGACAAATGGAGAGAGAGAGCGAGAAGGAGAGATGGAGACCCGGTTAACGCCGGGTATGACATCTAGGGCTATATTAGTGATAGAGGGATACTTGCGAGGGTTGAGCTCTGGCTCTCTGGTCCCGCCTCTCGATTGTCAATCAACTGGTGTACAGGTTCCTGAGCCTACTGGGCTCTTATCATATCTACACTTGAAACTGTGTATGACAGTTTCTTGACGTAGGGGGACTCTATAGGAGCCCGGGGCCACCATCACTACATCCCCCCTCCCCCAAAGAAACATACCCTCACCCCTCCTCCCCAACCCTCACACACACACACACACACACACACACACACACACACACACACACACACACACACACACACACACACACACACATAGGCGGGGCCAAAGAGCCAAAGCTCAACCCCCGCAAGCACAAATAGGTGAGTACACACACACACTCTTACACACACACACACACACACACACACACACACACACACACACACACACATGATGGAATTCAAACTTATGACCATGGGACAAGAGATCTGGGAAAGGAGAGCTGACTACAGGAAAGGGGACTATATGAGGATAAGGGACTATCTGGGTGAAGTGCAGTGGGAGGAAGAAATTAGAGGAAAAACAGTCCAAGATATGATGGACCTAGTCATACAGAAATGCCAGGAGGCCGAAGAGAGATTTATACCAACGGTAAAGGGAAAAAATAAGAAGGAATATAATAACCCATGGTTTAATAGACAGTGTCAGGAAGCAAAAATGGCCAGCAGGCGGGAGTGGAGGAAGTACAGAAGACAAAGAACAGAGGACAACAGAAGCAGATACAACAGAGCTAGGAACGATTACATTAACATAAGACGAACATCGGAAAGGGACTATGAGAACGATATTGCAATCAAAGCGAAAAAACAACCTAAGTTACTACACAGTCATATAAGAAGAAAAATGTCGGTGAACGACCAAGTGACAAGACTAAGGAAGACAGAGGGGGCATATACTGAAAGTGACAAGGAAATCTGCGAGGCACTGAATGCCAGTTTCCATGGAGTGTTCACTACCGAGCCTGAGCAGCTCCCATTGTTGGAAGGGGTTACCCTAGATGAAAGACTATCAGATATAGAGGTGACAGCAGAGGAGGTAATGAAACAGTTGACAACTCTAGATGCAACTAAAGCAGTTGGACCAGACAAAGTATCACCGTGGATACTAAAAGAAGCAGCACAGGCCCTCAGCGTGCCTCTGGCAATGATCTTTAATGAGTCACTTATGTCAGGAGAATTGCCCAGTTGCTGGAAGAAGGCAAATGTCGTGCCGATCTTCAAGAAAGGAGATAGGGAGGAGGCACTTAACTACAGACCTGTATCACTGACAAGCATCCCCTGTAAAATACTGGAAAGAATAATTAGGCTGCGACTGGTTGCACACCTGGAGAACATTAGGTTTGTGAACAAACATCAACATGGGTTCTGGACAGGGAAATCGTGCCTAACAAACCTTCTGGAATTCTATGATAAAATAACGAGGATAAGACAGGACAGAGATGGTTGGGCAGACTGCATATTTCTGGACTGCCAAAAAGCCTTTGATACAGTACCGCACATGAGACTGCTGTTCAAGCTCGAGAGGCAGGCGGGGGTGGGGGGAAAGGTCCTAGAATGGATAAGGAACTACCTAACAGGAAGGAGCCAAAGAGTTACGGTAAGGGGCGAGAAGTCGGACTGGCGAACAGTAACAAGTGGAGTACCACAAGGATCGGTGCTGGGACCAATTCTATTTCTTGTATATGTTAACGACATGTTTACAGGCGTAGAGTCCTACATGTCGATGTTTGCAGATGATGCAAAGTTGATGAGAAGAGTTGTGACAGATGAGGATTGCAGGATCCTCCAAGAGGACCTGAACAGATTGCAGAGATGGTCAGAGAAATGGCTACTAGAATTCAACACGAGCAAATGTAAAGTTATGGAAATGGGACTAGGAGATAGGAGACCAAAGGGACAGTACACAATGAAGGGGAACAGCCTACCTGTAACGACGCGTGAAAGAGACCTGGGGGTGGACGTAACACCTAATCTATCTCCTGAGGCACATATTAATAGGATAACGACAGCAGCGTACTCTACACTGGCAAAAGTTAAAACATCATTCAGAAACCTAAGTAAGGAGGCATTTAGGGCGCTTTACACTGCCTACGTAAGGCCAGTCTTAGAGTATGCCGCCTCATCATGGAGTCCCCATCTGAAGAAGCATATAATGAAACTGGAAAAGGTTCAGAGGTTTGCAACGAGACTCGTCCCAGAGCTACGAGGGATGGGGTATGAAGAGCGCCTGAGGGAACTGTGCCTTACGACACTAGAAAGAAGAAGGGAGAGGGGGGACATGATAGGAACGTATAAGATACTCAGAGGAATTGACAGAGTGGACATAGACGAAATGTTCACACGGAATAGTAACAGAACGAGAGGACATGGATGGAAGCTTGAAACTCAGATGAGTCACAGAGATGTTAGGAAGTTTTCTTTTAGCGTGAGAGTAGTGGGGAAATGGAATGCACTTCAGGAACAGGTTGTGGAAGCAAATACTATTCATAATTTTAAAACCAGGTATGATAGGGAAATAGGACAGGAGTCATTGCTGTAAACAACCGATGCTCGAAAGGCGGGATCCAAGAGTCAATGCTCGATCCTGCAGACACAACTAGGTGAGTACTAGGTGAGTACACACACACACACACACATGAAATGTGTGTGTGTCAATCACAACTGTTGATTGACAGTTGAGAGGCGGGACCAAAGAGCCAGAGCTCAACCCCCGCAAGCACAACTAGGTGAGTACACATACCCACCCACCCACACACACACACACACACACACACACACACACACACACACACACACACACACACACACACACACACACACACACACACACACACACGATTGGCGTGAAGTCACCAGTGGAGTCCCACAGGGCTCTGTACTCGGTCCTATCTTGTTTCTGATATATGTAAATGATCTCCCGGAGGGTATCGATTCATTTCTCTCAATGTTTGCGGACGATGCTAAAATTATGAGAAGGATTAAAACAGAAGAGGACTGTTTGAGGCTTCAAGAAGACCTAGACAAGCTCAAGGAATGGTCGAACAAATGGTTGTTAGAGTTTAACCCAACCAATGTAATGTAATGAAGATAGGTGTAGGGAGCAGGAGGCCAGATACAAGGTATCATCTGGGAGAGGAAATTCTTCAGGAGTCAGAGAAGGAAAAAGACTTGGGGGTTGATATCACGCCAGACCTGTCTCCTGCAGCACATATCAAGCGGATAACATCAGCGGCATATGCCAGGCTGGCCAACATACGAACGGCATTCAGAAACTTGTGTAAAGAATCATTCAGAACTTTGTATACCACATATGTCAGGCCAATCCTGGAGTATGCAGCCCCAGCATGGAGTCCATATCTAGTCAAGGATAAGACTAAACTGGAAAAGGTTCAAAGGTTTGCCACCAGTCTAGTACCCGAGCTGAGAGGTATGAGCTACGAGGAGAGACTACGGGAATTAAACCTCACTTCGCTGGAAGACAGAAGAGTTAGGGGGGACATGATCACCACATTCAAGATTCTGAAGGGAATTGATAGGGTAGATAAAGACAGTCTATTTAACACAAGGGGAACACGCACAAGGGGACACAGGTGGAAACTGAGTGCCCAAATGAGCCACAGAGATATTAGAAAGAACTTTTTTAGTGTCAGAGTGGTTGACAAATGGAATGCATTAGGGGGTGATGTGGTGGAGGCTGACTCCATACACAGTTTCAAGTGTAGATATGATAGAGCCCAATAGGCTCAGGAATCTGTACACCTGTTGATTGACGGTTGAGAGGCGGGACCAAAGAGCCAGAGCTCAACCCCCGCAAACACAACTAGGTGAGTACACACACACACACACACACACACACACACACACACACACACACACACACACACACACACACACACACACACACACACACACACACACACACACACACCCACACACACACACTCACACACACACACACACCCACACACACACACTCACACACACACACTCACACACACACTCACACACACACTCATCCATCACACCACAAAGTCCTAGACGTTCCTTGCATCGCCGCCTGCAAATGGTCCGCTGAAAACTCTCTATGAGAACCAGATAAATGGTGGAGGTGAAGGTGGCAGGTGGCAGGTGGCAGGTGGCAGAGGGAGGTGGCAGGTGGCAGGGGGAGGTGGCAGGTGGCAGGGGGAGGTGGCAGGTGGCAGGTGGCAGGTGGCAGGGGAAGATGGCAGGGGGAAGGTGGCAGGTGGCAGGGGGAAGGTGGCAGGTGGCAGGTGGCAGGGGAAGATGGCAGGGCGAAGGTGGCAGGTGGCAGGGGGAAGGTGGCAGGTGGCAGGGGAAGATGGCAGGTGGCAGGGGGAAGGTGGCAGGTGGCAGAAGGAGGTGGCAGGTGGCAGGGAAAGGTGGCAGGTGGCAGAGGAAGATGGCAGGGAGGAGATGAAGATAGCAGGGGAAGGTGGCGAATTAGCAGGAAACAATTAGACTAGGCAACAAGGAGTAGAAGAAAAGGAATCACATCAAGATGTTAGGAAATGGTTATGGGAAAATGGAGAAGGAAAAGTGAGGGGGCAAAGGGAGGGGGGGAAAAGGGAGGGGGCAAAGGGAGGGGGCATAGGAGGGGTCTAATGGAACAGAAAATACATAAAGAACACCTATACACCGCAACATCAAGTTCTCTCCCTGAAAAATGTTTCCTAATTCAATGAATGCAAAACTAAATTATTTTTTCAATTTTCTTCCAGATACGTGAGTGGCCATATCTTGCTTATCTCTGAGGTGAGTCCTATATACATTGTTTATCACTCAGGTGAGTCCTATATATATTGTTTATTACTCAGGTGAGTCCTATATATATTGTTTATTACTCAGGTGAGTCCTATATATATTGTTTATCACTCAGGTGAGTCCTATATACTTTGTTTATCACTCAGGTGAGTCATATATACATTGTTTATCACTCAGGTGAGTCCTATGTCTTACTCAGAGATAAGTCCTATGACTTATATAGATAAGACATAAGTCTTATGCGTACCTTACCCATCACTCAAGTGAGTTCATAACAGGATGCCTGTCACTCCGGTGAATCTAACTGCGTACTCATCACTGATGAATACATTCATCCCTCCAATCCCCCCCCTCCTCATTCACGTGGGGTGGTGGTGTGGTGGGGATTGGAGGGAGAGAGGGGGTGGGGTAGTGTGGATTGGGGAGTAGGGGGAAGGATTAGGAGATTGGGTGGGCTATGAAACAGGGGGTTCTGGATGGGGGGGGGCGGTGTTGATTGGAGAGGGGGTCGTTAATGGCTGTTAAAATGCATAATTTTTTTCATTTTTGCCACCGGTAAGGTTGTGAAACTTTTAGTCCACGTCGTAGCCAACTGGTCAGGGATACGAACGTGTTGGGCAGCTTGAGACGAAATGTTTTGTGTCGGATACACCGCGTGTCAACTTTGTGAAAGAGAAACCGTGCATTCCCTTCAACTTTCTATTGTTGAATGTCCCGTATTGCCTGATTTCCGACCTTCTGGATTGAGATATGCTCAAGTCTGTGTTAAACAGCCAAAGATAACTACCATAGGATTGTTAGAATAGTCGATTAAATAGTGTCTAGCAACGGCTGAGTGGCTGCTTCGTGTATTTCTCATGTATTCCTCATGTCTCCTGGGCTAGCAGGCGCGGCTAACTGAAGCACCTAGCGGGTTCCGCTAACTGTAGCACCTAGCGGGTTCCGCTAACTGTAGCACGTAGCGACCGCCGCTAACTGTAGCACGTAGCGGCTGCCGCTAACTGAAACCAGACCCGGGCCTGCCGCAGGTAGCCGCGGCTCGTGCCGCCAAAGCCCCAGAATTACCGTTGAGCCGCAGGAGGGCAGCAGCGGGCAACCGCAGGCTGACCTCTAGGGGGGGGGGACCCCCCAAGAGCAGAGGGGGTGGCCTGAGCGCCCCCCCCCCCAAGACCCACTAAATCCCTCATCTCAGCAACTATTGGACAGGGGGAAGAGGCTGGCTCCTAGCCATTGTGCCTAGCACGGTTTGTAGCCTAGCACGGCTTGTAGCCTAGCACGGCCTGTAACCTAGCACGGCTTGTAGCCTAGCACGGCTTGTAGCCTAGCACGGCCTGTAACCTAGCACGGCTTGTAGCCTAGCACGGCTTGTAGCCTAGCACGGCCTGTAACCTAGCACGGCTTGTAGCCTAGCACGGCTTGTAGCCTAGCACGGCTTGTAGCCTAGCACGGCCTGTAACCTAGCACGGCTTGTAGCCTAGCACGGCTTGTAGCCTAGCACGGCTTGTAGCCTAGCACGGCTTGTAGCCTAGCACGGCCTGTAACCTAGCACGGCTTGTAGCCTAGCACGGCTTGTAGCCTAGCACGGCCTGTAACCTAGCACGGCTTGTAGCCTAGCACGGCTTGTAGCCTAGCACGGCCTGTAACCTAGCACGGCTTGTAGCCTAGCACGGCTTGTAGCCTAGCACGGCCTGTAACCTAGCACGGCTTGTAGCCTAGCACGGCTTCTAGCCTAGCACGGCCTGTAGCCTCGCACGGGAGGAGTATGTAGCCTAAACAAATCCACAAGGGCCTTGACGAGGATTCGAACCTACGTCAGAGATCATCCCAGACGCTGCCTTAATCGACTGAGCTACGACATGGTCAAAAGAGTTGAAACCAGAAGTTCTACTGAACTTACCTGCAGCCTCTCCGAGACACAAACCAGGGTTTTACACAACTCCCCCCATGCACTCGAGCTATGTCAATAGGCCGTTCTACCTCATAGGACTAAATGGCCTTTTAACCCTCCTTAAAAAGACTTGATACAGAGGATCTTGCACGCTATTGCAAGATATTCTAGGATCTTGCATGCCTCCTCTTGCGTCCTGTCCCCTCAGGTAAATTCAGGTAAATATAGCATACATCTGGCACCTCAGGAAAGCCACATGTGCGCGCGCGCGCTGATGGACAGAACGCGCGCGTCAGGTCTCTAGGAAAGTGCCTATGACGTCACGACACAGGGAGCCTAAGGCCTAAGGATTTAAACTTTTAAATTACCCGATGACAGTTATATTGAACCGCTGGATATATATATGTCATCATCCAGAACATTCTTCTCTGTAATGACTTCCTGTACGCATGCGCGCAGCGGTGGCCCGCGCGAGGGTAGGCTCTCAGGTGAGGCTAGGCTCTCTCAGGTGAGGCTAGGCTCTCTCAGGTGAGGCTAGGCTCTCTCAGGTGAGGCTAGGCTCTCTCTCAGGTGAGGCTAGGCTCTCTCATGTGAGGGTAAACTCTCTCAGGTGAGGCTAGGCTCTCAGGTGAAGCTAGGCTCTCTCAGGTGAGGCTAGACTCTCTCAGGTGAGGCTAGATCCTCTCTCAGGTGAGGCTAGGCTCTTTCTCAGGTGAGGCTAGGCTCTCTCAGGTGAGGCTAGGCTCTCTCAGGTGAGGCTAGGCTCTCAGGTGAAGCTAGGCTCTCTCAGGTGAGGCTAGGCTCTCTCAGGTGAGGCTAGATCCTCTCTCAGGTGAGACTAGGCTCTCTCTCAGGTGAGGCTAGGCTCTCTCAGGTGAGGCTAGGCTCTCTCAGGTGAGGCTAGGCTCTCTCAGGTGAGGCTAGGCTCTCTCAGGTGAGGGTAAACTCTCTCAGGTGAGGCTAGGCTCTCAGGTGAAGCTAGGCTCTCTCAGGTGAGGCTAGGCTCTCTCAGGTGAAGCTAGATCCTCTCTCAGGTGAGGCTAGGCTCTCTCTCAGGTGAGGCTAGGCTCTCTCAGGTGAGGCTAGGCTCTCTCAGGTGAGGCTAGGCTCTCTCAGGTGAGGCTAGGCTCTCTCAGGTGAGGCTAGACTCTCTCAGGTGAGGCTAGGCTCTCTCAGGTGAGGCTAGGCCCTCTCAGGTGAGGCTAGACCCCTCTCAGGTGAGGTTAGGCTCTCTCAGGTGAGGCTAGGCTCTCTCAGGTGAGGCTAGGCTCTCTCAGGTGAGGGTAAACTCTCTCAGGTGAGGCTAGGCTCTCAGGTGAAGCTAGGCTCTCTCAGGTGAGGCTAGACTCTCTCAGGTGAGGCTAGATCCTCTCTCAGGTGAGGCTAGGCTCTTTCTCAGGTGAGGCTAGGCTCTCTCAGGTGAGGCTAGGCTCTCTCAGGTGAGGCTAGGCTCTCTCATGTGAGGGTAAACTCTCTCAGGTGAGGCTAGGCTCTCAGGTGAAGCTAGGCTCTCTCAGGTGAGGCTAGGCTCTCTCAGGTGGGGCTAGATCCTCTCTCAGGTGAGGCTAGGCTCTCTCTCAGGTGAGGCTAGGCTCTCTCAGGTGAGGCTAGGCTCTCTCAGGTGAGGCTAGGCTCTCTCAGGTGAGGCTAGGCTCTCTCAGGTGAGGCTAGACTCTCTCAGGTGAGGCTAGGCTCTCTCAGGTGAGGCTAGGCCCTCTCAGGTGAGGCTAGACCCCTCTCAGGTGAGGCTAGGCTCTCTCAGGTGAAGCTAGGCTCTCTCAGGTGAGGCTAGGCTCTCTCAGGTGAGGGTAAACTCTCTCAGGTGAGGCTAGGCTCTCAGGTGAAGCTAGGCTCTCTCAGGTGAGGCTAGACTCTCTCAGGTGAGGCTAGATCCTCTCTCAGGTGAGGCTAGGCTCTTTCTCAGGTGAGGCTAGGCTCTCTCAGGTGAGGCTAGGCTCTCTCAGGTGAGGCTAGGCTCTCAGGTGAAGCTAGGCTCTCTCAGGTGAGGCTAGGCTCTCTCAGGTGAGGCTAGATCCTCTCTCAGGTGAGACTAGGCTCTCTCTCAGGTGAGGCTAGGCTCTCTCAGGTGAGGCTAGGCTCTCTCATTTGAGGCTAGGCTCTCTCAGGTGAGGCTAGGCTCTCTCAGGTGAGGGTAAACTCTCTCAGGTGAGGCTAGGCTCTCAGGTGAAGCTAGGCTCTCTCAGGTGAGGCTAGGCTCTCTCAGGTGAGGCTAGATCCTCTCTCAGGTGAGGCTAGGCTCTCTCTCAGGTGAGGCTAGGCTCTCTCTCAGGTGAGGCTAGGCTCTCTCAGGTGAGGCTAGGCTCTCTCAGGTGAGGCTAGGCTCTCTCAGGTGAGGCTAGGCTCTCTCAGGTGAGGCTAGACTCTCTCAGGTGAGGCTAGGCTCTCTCAGGTGAGGCTAGGCCCTCTCAGGTGAGGCTAGACCCCTCTCAGGTGAGGCTAGGCTCTCTCAGGTGAGGCTAGGCTCTCTCAGGTGAGGCTAGGCCCTCTCAGGTGAGGCTAGGCTCTCTCAGATGAGGCTAGGTCCTCTCAGGTGAGGCTAGGCTCTCTCAGGTGAGACTAGGCTCTCTCTTAGGTGATGCTTGGCTCTCTCTCAGGTGATGCTAGGCTCTCAGGTGAGGCTAGGCTCTCTCAGGTGAGGCTAGGCTCTCTCAGGTGAGGCTAGGCTCTCTCAGGTGAGGCTAGGTTCTCTCAGGTGAGGCTAGGCTCTCTCAGGTGAGGCTAGGCTCTCTCTCAGGTGAGGCTAGGCTCTCTCAGGTGAGGCTAGGCTCTCTCAGGTGAGGCTAGGCTCTCAGGTGAGGCTAGGCCCTCTCAGGTGAGGCTAGGTCCTCTCTCAGGTGAGGCTAGGCTCTCAGGTGAGGCTAGGCTCTCTCAGGTGAAGCTAGACTCTCTCAGGTGAGGCTAGACTCTCTCAGGTGAGGCTAGACTCTCTCAGGTGAGGCTAGGCTCTCTCAGGTGAGGCTAGGCTCTCTCAGGTGAGGCTAGACTCTAGGCTCTCTCAGGTGAGGCTAGGCTGAGGCTGGGCTCTCAGGTGAGGCTAGGCTCTCTCAGGTGAGGCTAGGCTCTCTCAGGTGAGGCTAGGCTC